CTCATAGTTACCTTTTGTGGATAGTGTAAGATTTTACAAATCCTTTAAGCGGCTTTGTTAATGCTTCAGCAGTGTTAACAAACTTTCTGCAAGGCAACTGGAAAACTGATAAGCCCACACACTACACTATCTGACATTCACTTTATGGGCTACAGCTAAGCTCAGTGGGACACACACACACACACACACACACACACACACACACACTGGCTGAGTGCCTGAACTCAATTCCTCTTTTATGAAACATTCAGGGACAGACCTTCAGCTGTACGACCAGCGGTTAAGACCTGTCGGATGTGATTTTGTTTTAGCTTTAATGTGATGCGTTTTGCCTTTTGATGCTTTCATGTGTGTACTCACGGAGCTGGTCGAAATGTGTCTGTAAGCCATCTGGTCCTGGGACTGAACAGACCATTCGAGCCTTCTGGAAAGTGCTCCACTTATTAACTAAACTCCTCTGGCCTCCGATGTCGTTCTACATGAACATTACAAAGAACTGAATTAGATCTGCTATGATTACAGAAGTAGCAAACATACAAACATATGAACATTGCATATTTAAGCTGGCAAAAAAATTCATGCACACACAGTAACATTGGCATGAAGCTCGCCACGCTGCCAAGACTGCTTGCAATTATGGACAATGACTCCCACCCCCTCCATAACACACAATGTGAAGAGCAGTTTCAGCAACAGGTTCCTTTAACCTCGCTGTCTGAGGGACGTTACAGGAGGTCGTTCCTTCCCGCTGCTATCGGGCTCTTTAATTCATCGACTTGGGTGAGATCACACATGTGGAACAGAATTAATCACACCTCACCGCACCCTGTCACTTTTGTACATGATGACATATATTTGAGCACATGCTTTTCCTTTGATATTTATACCTATATCTCTATATTTATCTATTTATCTTAATATTTATCTATCAATATCTGTGTTTCTACACTCTTTTTATACGAGTGTTTGATGTTTATTGTATATTTGCTGCTATGACAACTCAATTTCCCTCTGGGCTTTATAAAGTCTCTCTGATTCTAACAAAGCCATGAATGTGCAAACATGTCCACACAGAAAACACACACAACAGTGGAAGACGCAGTGATTGTGACAAACATAAACAGTCCCTCATACATTTCAGTGATACACAGATACACAGTTGCCTGCTCTAACACACACACTGACCAAACAGCACGTACATACCTTCCCATGGAGGAAAACGTGTTTATGTAAGCTACATGCAGACGTGTTCTGATGAGAGTGTCCAAACTGCACAAACCCTATCTATGCCAAACAAACATGTCGCATACCTTGCACACACGTGCCACTCTGGAGTAGAGCACCTTCCCAGCAGCACCTTCCGCCTCCTGAGCGCGCTCGGTGAAGAAAACGTAAACCTTATCATCTTCTGGATTATCAGTTTCAGACAACGGCGCTACCCGCACGAACTGGGCATCTGGAGGAAAGTACCACAGACACACACACACAGGCAAATTATAAGAAATCAAATGTAATACAGTCCTACACTGATACAAATGTAATTTGCAGCGCAAGGAATAGAGAAAGAGCAAAGGGCTGATTAGGGAGAAGTCGAGTTTCCAAACAGCAGGGAGTCAGTATATATCGCCTTGTTATCAGCAGCAGACGTCGATACACAGGAGCCTGATAAAACACCAACCGGGTGTGCAGGAGATGATTTTAGAGATGCTCAAAGATATTCAGTCTACTTCAGAAAATTCAGTTCACAAAGTACACACACTGAATGTGCTGCACACATTAACCGTGACTTGTGATGTTTTCTTGGCGGAGAATTTGACAAAATTTTGTGTTTTAGTGATTGTGTTATCGTAAGGAGCACATTCTCAACTAACTTCTAATGTCAGACGCAGTTCTGAGTTGTTCAACACAAAGGTAGACTTCAAAAAGGAAGTGGTGCTTTTCTGCTCTTACCCTGCAGCCAGGTGGAATCGTACTGCTCAGTGCGGATAACACGACGGTTGCCAAGACTACGGAAAAAGGCAGAGTCCCGGCTCATGAAGTCTGAGGTGATGCCGGCATACAGCTCTCCATCTACACAGAATACACAACAGTATTCTCATCAGTAGTCATTGAAAGACATCCAAGTCATGGCTCTCCTGTTTTAGACATCCTCTAGAAATTATATATAACTTCCACAGTTTGATGAGTTTTATAACAGCAAAGCATCACTTTTGCTACAAACACAAACCCATTTTCCATCTAGTTTTTCTTTGATAAAACACCTAATCATGCACATTTAGATGATTCCTTTCCACCTAACGGTTATATTTTGTTGTAGAGAAAATAAAGTGTACGATGGTGTGTGTACTGTTTATTTACCAACGACTGCAGAGGCCGTTTTCTGGAATGGATCGTAGGGACATTTGCCTTTCCCGCACTCTGTCTGGCCGTAGGAGAGAGTCTGATGCTCTGACTGTCAAAGAAATCACAGACGTCACTCACACAGAAAGAAGACAGATCACAAAGCTGTCCTAATTTATATTGCAATCTCAAGTAGTTTATCCACTGATGCAGCAAACAATCAGAAGGTGGATTAATCCCGACCTCTACCTGTCCGTGTGTCAGAGCATCCTCAGGCAGGATACTGAACCCCGAGTTGCGCCTGATGTCACTGTCAGTTTTATTTCTACAGCACGTGTAAGCAACAAAGTAGACCAAAGTGCTTTACAAGATAAAACCACAGATCAATATAATAAATACAGCAGAATAAAACACAAAACAAACAAAATGAATAAATATAATATGAATTATTATTATGAACTAAAACAAAGACAATGCAACATAAAAAACCTACACACATGCATAAAAAGTACCAGTGCATGTAGCACCATTTCAGCGAGCCCAACTACCCTGCCACACATGCACTCAGTGAGCACCTAACTGAGGGTAATCGGGCTAAGTGGAGGGATTTTAAAATGTGTGAAGCTCAATGTTAAACCAGTCAGCACCATCGGCACCTCTAAGAACCATGTCTGAACCTCTGCTCTGATCTTACATGGTCTTTCATGGGATTAACTGTTCTCTGACACACACACACACACACAACTAAGTGAGATGAGTGGGAAACTTCAGAACCAGCAGCCTATTTCTGGGATAAAACGATAACCCACATGTGTCATTATGATGAGAAATTACACACCGACAACAGCAGGCAGGTTTGACCTCTACAGTTACATTCACCATCCATTGCATTTGACATACAAATGTCAAATAACATATCTAAGGTGTCTGGTAGCCCACACAGTGCAGCATCAGTGACGAAAGGAAATTTGACATATCACAAGGTGAACCCTGGGGGATATGTGGGCATAGGGGCAGACACCACATGATATTTCAGCTGCTCGTAGGCATGCTTATGGGGGCTGGAACTCGAAGTCTGAAAACAGACATATTGGTGGGTGGTAGGAAAATCAAGGCATCCAATACATATATTTCTATTTTTTAATGCAGACAGCCCTCAAAACCTGGATAAATGAGTAGAGCATCAGTAACGAACGTTAATTTGACATATCGCAGACTGAACACTATGCATCCACGGGCAGCACTGCAGTTAACATCAAAGTGCTGCTTGTATAAAATTGCAGAGAATGGCCCAACTGATTCTGATTTTGGACCAAAATGGAAAGAGTAATCTATGTGACTTTGAAAGAAGAGGTAACTGTTGTTGGGGGGCAGATGGCTTCAGCCACAAAAATTGCTCGAGTGGCTGCTGTTTCAGAAGGATAAGTGACTAAAGTGGCATAAATGTGGGAACTACATCAGCAGACAGTTTGGAAATTACAGTTGACTGCACACGTGATGACCATGATGGTTCTGCATTAGTGTGATAGGTAAAGAAAAATGTGAGGAACAAAAAGAGGAGCTTCTTCAGATTTCAAGGAGAGGGATTTGATAGCAGGGCTTCAGCGAATATCGGGTTTTGATGGTCTGCTTCATTTTTACCAGACCAGAAAGCTAGCAGTCTTTTAAACACAACCCATTCTTCAGCTTTATTATTTTTAGGAGCAGCAGATTTAAGTCTGGTAGAGTTCACGCCTCTACAGATACCATTTTTTTATCCAGCAAAATCGCAAAAGAAAATAAAAATACATATTTTGCACCAGCATACATTACCTGCATAGTGTATGTAATTGTGTCTGTAGCATTACCTGATGGAAGACGCTGGTGGCTATGAAAGCGCAGCGGGGGTTGAAGGCCCCGGTGCCGCACACATATAGGTGAGTCTGGTTAAAAGGCTGCAGAACACGCAGGAAGTTTGCACACTCCAGCTGGACAGAGAGAAACAGGGACCATAACGTGAGGAATAATGGATGACACACATTATTTTGCACTGATGCTTAACTGTTTTCTATTACTTGTTTGAATATCAAACAATATGACTTGCACTTATTAAACTCTGGCTCAACTGACAAATTTTCACACCTTTCATCTTGAGCTTATTGTGAAGTCAACAAGCAAAAAGTAGTCCTAAAACTTCAGATGTGACCGACTGTTCAGCACGCCCCACCAGACGTCTGCCAGTACTTGGATCAACTGAATCTTGATATGCCTGCCTGCATGAAAACTGTCTTGTTTGTTTACAGTTCCCAAATGAATAAGATACATTCAGCTTTAGTTCTGCCCTTGATGGTAATCTATCATCCTACTGTATTGCTTTATTGCTTCATAACTCTAGACAGTTCTTGTAAGGTATTATCAAACGGCAGTAGGGAGTAGAGAAAGGATGAAAACGGCTGATGTGGTTTGACACCGATTCATATCTGCACGCAAACGTGTCCGAATGTAATTCTTTTCCCCGCGTTGCTTAAGTCAGGGTAACGCGGTTACTTACCCAATCTTAGCATGTTTGCGTGTGCATCTGCGAGTGTGCGTTTGATTACCTCTGGATCCTTCCCAGCCATGAGACATTCTTGGACGCGGTCCGGACTGGCTGGCCAATACAGCTACAGAAAGAAGAGAGGGGGAGAGAAAAAAGAGAGGGACAAAGAGATTTCAGAAATGTTTTTATTGCTCACTCTACATTTCCGATAAAGGGCTTCAGGGGATTGGCAGGTGCTTTATGAGGGAGCGTGGCAGGGATAGTCAACAGAACATGACTAATCTAGAAGAAAGAAGGAGACGATTTTCATACCTCTTAACTCCAAACAGATAACAGTCAGCTTTAGGGAGGAGAAAAGAAAAAGCCAACTGGCAGCATTGCTGACTTCTGATAATGAGCCAAACTGCCAGAGCAGAGTACATGACTACAAGTATGACTAACTGACATACAATCCTGGCCATGCCTACACACTGTGAATGTGCACTGCAATGCAGCTATTATCACTCATCGAAATAACTAAATGACTGTTGATTACAATTATACATGGCTGACAGTATTTATTCTGACTTTAAACCCTAAACATCGTGCTATTATTTGATTTGTGCAGTTATAACATGATGTTATTATGTTATCTTGCATCAACAGAACGACTGAAGCAGCCACTGTAAAGGGTCCAAGATTAACCAAACGGGATTCTGGCTCCACAATTTCCTCTCTGTTGTGGTCACAGTTAGTTTCTTCTGTAACCAGTAGTTCTTATTGGACACGACAGGCTCTAAGACAGGGAATCAAACTTTCGGTGACCGAGTTCCAATTCAGGAAGTTAATGACTTAGGCCACATTAACCTGTGTCAGCGCAGCAGTTCTCAGACTTTTTCTGAAGATCAAAAAAGCTCATGACCCATGCCCCACATTTTTTATTGATAACAATCATAAAGACTCCATGTTGGATTTTACTTAAACAAAGATGAACGTTATCAGTGCAGCAGCATCAGCAAAGCCTTTATGAAGTTCCCTAAACACCCCCCCCCCCCCAAAACAAGTCATAGTTTAGTTTAGTTTCACTTCATATTTTTCTCACAGATCTGTAGTCTGCTAAGATGACTAAAAGAAGAATAGCTCTCATAGTCTCATCCTTTGCTGTTATATCATGATATGAACCGGAGATGAATGAAATACAGTCGTGCATTCCTTTCCTGCATCGTGTGGGCTGCCATAAAGCCCACACGATGGATTTTGAAGACCCTGGCTCAGAGGAAGATATATGGTATTTACTTCACTTTGTATGTGAGCTCTTTGATAAGGGCTTCAAGGAGAAAATAAATGACATTGCTCCAAAAAAAAATCTTTCCACACTGTGTAATGCACAAATGAGAGAGATCTGTGCCTTTTGTGAAGAGTCAGAGAATAATCGAGATCCACATGTCGGCGTCTCTTTTTTTTCCCCGTTGTTGTTGTTTAAGCTGTGAGAATCAGTGTGGTGTAATAAACCCCTCAGGTTGCTAAGTTTTTTTCTTTGGGTCTGTTTAGGTTTGGTTGTGTGAGGTCATCCTGGGTTCAGGTAAGATGATCACACATGAAAAGGTACATTTGTAACGTGAAAAATGGATGACTTCACCATTTAACAAACTAAAGCAATCAGAGAAGTGTTTGTCTTGCACTTGTTAGCTTAATCACATTAAACCACACTGTTTGCTTCAGTGTAAACTTAATCAGCGTATAATAAAAACTCTATAATGGAGAATGCTTTCATGTAAAGCCAGTAAGGGAGGAAACAACAGAGGCTGGGATGGTGTGCAGTGAGGGAGAGAGTGCGAGAGCGAGGATGAGGTGAGCCTTAGTGTCAAATGGCTTCAACATGACTAATCTAAATATTTCCCTGAGACAGTCATTTCCCTGGAGAGCAGAACGGTGAGACCGAGATGTAATCGATACAGTAAGCGAATGTCTGCACTTGTCGCTAAGTACGTGATACACAAACTGCTGTTCAGGTGTCAGAAGTAAATTCAAGACCTCAACTTCACACTGCATTAGGAAGTAAATGTGTATATAAATTGTAACAAGTGCACTTTATTAATTAAAAAAACACATCTGTGCACTGATTGTAGTTTTTATCTCTCTTTTTTGTATTTGGGGTGAATGAAGATGTGAAGAAGTGACAGGAGATTGTAGAAAGTGATTAATGACAAATGGCGGTGGTTTCAGGAAACAATTTCTGGATGTACACTAATTGTTCCACGATGTAGTCATTCCCACAGAGGCTGGTGCGGGGCTGAGACCATCAGATTAGATTAGAGACCACAGACCCCGTTTATCTCCGAATACCACACACTGACAGGAACACGGACCACCACTAAGGGAGTCTCAACAGGTAAAGACTGCGGTTAATGGGATTTTACCCCTCTGTGAAAAACATGCTGGTTGTCAGTTTATACGAAACAGAAGATGTAAATGTGGGTTTTTGTAAAAAGGGAACATATTTTAACAAGTAAAAGGAACAAGGGGGGAAAAAGCTAGAAAAAAATCTAAATTTCTTTACTTTTGGAGTCGTTTTCAGAGCCGAGAGAAGATTCAAAACAGAGAAAATGAAAGGAGAGAAGAACAAATACTGTAAGCAAACAAAAAGCCGCAAACAAACATTTAAACCCCTGGTGACCCTTTGTGTTACAGCAGCTGCAAGCTGTTGACTCACACAGAAAGAATGGCCTGAGTATTTTTTTTTCCCCCGATCAAAGAAAAATGTGATTTAAATGTTATAATAAATTATAAGATCGTCTCTCTAAGCCACACTGATTTTTATATAGCAGAAAAACCGCACGTCCACTGTGCATAAGTGTGGGTAAAGTCGGGAGGAGATAAATAAAAACAGGATCCAGATTGTCTCAGGCAACATTGATAAGAAGCTCTGAGAAAATAAACAGAAATGTTGAGAACATGGCACTGAGTGATTTTAACACCGGGGGGGGGGGGACTGCACACAGGCTGGAAAGGTACAAACAGCCTATAAATACTGGATGTACAAATATGTAACTTAACAGCCCGCACAGAGCTGAGTTATGATTTGACTGTGACTATCTATCCTTATGCTGGCTGACTGCCTGACTGAGTGGGTGGCTGGCCAGCGCAACTGATGGCTGTCTGTCGGTTTCGCTGGTTGTTTTTTATTCTGCTCTTCTACCTGTTTGGCTCTCTGACAGCTTGCATGCACGTCTGACTGATGAGGGTATTGATTTGATCCGGCTGGGCAGGGTTAAGAAAGCCAGCACTGTTCTGTGTCCTTGCTGTGACCCTGAACTCTACCTGACTGGCGAGCCATTAACGTGGCTGTCTGGCTGTCTCGATACCGTGCTAAAGCTGCAGAATGAAACTAGATACTGTAACAAAACTTCCACATCTAACAGCCACCACGAAGGAGCGCCGCGTCTCGCAGCAAGTCTTGGGTTGGTCGGAATATTATTGTGGCACTTCCACATTCCTGTGTATTGCTTATGTGCTGGGCAGAGTCTTCGTTTGACTAAGCTTCACTTTACTGATATGTGAAAAAGCTAATCAAATCAAATATTGACCCGCTCACTAGTGTATAAAATCTAGAGATGCGCTTGTGCAGTCTTTGCAAACCAAAAATATGTTGTGCAGCTGACCTCGTGCAGTCGTTTTTCATCTAAAGTTTAGCTGTTCTCGTCTGAAGCATAATACCTCCGTATTGGTGCCAACAGAGGCAATCGTGCCTTTGAGCAGTAAATGTGGAAAGCAGAGGAAGTTAGGATGTAAGAAACGTGCATAAAATAATTGTGGCTTGAATGGAATCCATTACAGTCCTATCTGTATGTGTCTTCTTTTTTAAAGTTTTCTCCCCCCTTCTTTTTTTAAAGCGTAGCCCCTTTTTTAAGTGTACATTCCCAACTTCTGTACTTTTTCCATTTACCAATTGCTAAACTAAATAATACTAAGTGATCAGGCCAAAAAAAATCACCTTCTGCTCAAAAGGTGGAGACATTTTTATCAAATATGGACAGCTTGGCTGCCAAGGAGAAAGCTGAATAGAGGTGGAAATGTGGCACAGCCTCTTTCTGCTTTTTGAACACTGTTTCTGTCTCCATGCTAAATCGAAATGAATGGTAAGTGAATTGTTTGTTCAGCTAAGAACCACAAAACAGGGTCAGAGGAAGAAAAGCGGAGCTTTTGTGCAGCACAAGTAAGGAATTTGACAAAGATAAGAGATTAGAGGGGATATTAGAAGGGTGTGACTTTCCTCTTAAACCATCAGCAATTAGCCCTATTAAGTCTCTGACACATCAGCTATCTCATCTGCTGTCATCTGACTGTGTGTTTTATGTGTGTATTTTGTGTTACATCTCTTGAGTCTACCTTTCCTTAAATGGTAAGCAAATGTGTGCTCGCGTCCTGCGGTTCTAACCTTGCGTGGGTTTTGCGTTATGTCATCCATACTGGTAGACAGAAGGCCATCTTTCATGGCCACATAAAGACGTCTCCTGTCTTCATCGGGCAGCAGGGAGTGCAGGTCTCCCGCCATCAGGGGTAGCGTGAGCAGCCGGCCATTCTGGATCAGCTCTGAGAAGAAGAAAAAAGAGGAGAAAAAACACAAAATAAGGGTCTCCATTTTTATCAGTTTTTAAAAATATTCAAGGGAATCTGGAACAAAAATGGCATTAAACTGAAAGTAATCTGTTGTTTGCAATAAAAATCTAATCTTTGTCTTATTCATTAGGTATTACTGTATATGAAGAAGTGTTTTCCACCATAGAAAAGGTCCAACAGCCTCCGTGCTTTTTACAGTTTTACTAATAAATGACAAATAGCTTTTAAGTTTTTGCAGACATGTCTGTAAACCGCTGATGACCAATGTGCTAGCAAACAAAGCAATCTCGAGGAGAATTTCATACAGCACTGTTTATGTCTCTGCAACCATTTTCACACTAGCGACTGCCAGAAACCACTTGCAACCATTTGGGGAATATAAATTTTTTTCCTCCCAACTGGTGGTTGTTGGATGGTCACTGACAGACAAATCTAAAGGCCAGTGTGATTGGGGCGAATAAAATATACCTTCCAGTACTTTGATACGCGGGTTTTCCCATTCGCAGTTTGGTTGCAATTGTGTAAAAATCAACAATAAATGCAGGTTTTCAAAGTAACAGACTGTGAGAATTAATAAACCTAACTATGACGCAAATTTTGTCTTAACAGATCATCACTCGGATCATCTTTGAGATAAAGTGACATGTTGCGCAAAGACACAGACTGTCCCACGCCTGCAGCACCAATCACAAACGGAACTGGCAGTTGTTTGTTTTGCTGCCTCATTTTTTCTTACCAGGTTGGTCACTATGTTCAAACACAGAATACTGAAATGTATCTCTCATGAATAAACAAACGTAGACAAACAATACTTGCACATCTCTAGACAGACTGGATGATAACAACCGGATCTGAAACCTCAGATAATGAGAGCACAGATTGCTTTTTTTTTTAATGATTGCACCATGTAAACTATGAGAACTATGGTGCGGGGAGATCGACTGATTTCAGAACAAGGACAGAAACTGCATGTCTGTCTGTCTCGTGCTAACTTTCATATTTTATCTGCCACGTCTTCTTCTGTAGATTGGATTTGGCAAAACTAAAGCATAAACAATGAGGCTTTACAGCAGCACCAGACATGGCTTCACACATTGGCAGCTCTACATAGCAGTGAGGGGTAGAAAGAGCTTATAAAAGTGGTTCAAACTTTAAAAACAGTAATAGCAAACTGCATACTCTTATTTATCAACCAGGCTCTCCTGCAATGCTTTAAACTGAACTGAGAAGGGATGCACAAAAGCAAATTTCCAAGCTAGATGTTCAAACCGAACCCAAAGACAGATTGGTATATATGGAAAAAGAACAATTCAACTTGCATTTGTCTCGTTGGCAGAGAGCACGACTTTATTAAAACCATCATGCATAACTTTGGATTGTTTGAGCTGTAAGCGTATATGTGGTGCAGTTGGTGAACCACAGCATTTTTTCTTTCTTCAAGCAGTTAAATCTGACCTAACATTGCGCATTGAGATGCATTATACACAACAGCTGTATTTCCACTCAAAGCAGGGGTTTGGGGGGAGCAAAATAATAGTCGCTGTAGTGGGGAAAAAAAACTTCCTAAAAAGTTGGTAGATCCCGTGGGAAATTACCTGATGGAGGCACGGTTAATATAATGTTTCCTAGTGTGGCAGGAGTGTGAATTTGCATTCATAGTTTTGCTACCAATGTAAACTAACTTTGTACAAAGCAAATGCAGAGTTGTAACAGGAAGCTAACTGAATTTTTATTCTGTTTGTACAGACACGGTCTCGATCAGATTTCAGTGTAATCTGATAAAGCTGAAACCTGTTTAACCTTTTTGTCCATTTTGCCAATTTGTGCCAATCTCAAGTTTGAGCAAGCAAGCAAACGCTGTTTTGTAGAGCTCGAAAATGAGAAGGAGGACAGAAAAAGCAAGTGACAGAAGGCAAAAATCCCCGAAACTGTCATACTGCATAAAGGACAATGCATAACATTCAAAGACAAAGAAGTGATAAGCAGCAAACTGGGGCCAAAGGTATTTGTCACAGCTGAAGTTAACACTTGTTTGTTCAGGTAACAAAAAGAGTGTTTAAATCTGGTGATACTAACTAGCCACAGTGAGCTGCTGAAAAGTTTTCGTTTAAGTTTATTTCCTCTTTGTTCAGATTGACGAGCTGCAGAAATGCAAATAGCTGAACAAAAGTCTCAGTTTGCACTATAATTCAAACAACTTCACTTTCATTAAGCAGCTCTAAAGTGCAGCTTCAAAGAAAACTTTGCATTTAGGCTAGATTTTGAACTGGAAGAGTCCTCTACAGGTATTCTGAGCAGCTTTCAGATCAACATATTTAGCCTGATATGGAAATGCCTGTGAATTTCCAAGACGGGGCCAAACAATGTGGCTGGGTGATGTCTATGCTATTTGGCCCAGCCTAATGCCAGTACTGACAGAAACACTTGGAAACACCTATTAACTGTATAATACCCTAAAACCGGCATAAATCAAATCATTTGCAATAAAACAGATAGCAAACTGTTGAGCACAGAAGGTGAAATTCCTTAAGAATGAGAGCCCCAGTGTTGCATAGAGGAAGCATTCTGTAGGGCTGACTGTAAGTGGGCGGCTCAGTTAAGGTGCCTTAAATGCTAACATTCATGCAATACAGCTGCTACTTATACTGAACATTGCAGCTCCCATAGATGTGGGTTTTCTCACTGCTGTTAAGCAGGCTTTGGAAAAGTCTTCAGAAGCACACATGTGCAGTCTGAAGTTCCTGTTCAACCATTTCTTGATGTGTTTTTAACTGCTAACAGGCAACAAAGAGTGTGCAAGTCCATCACGCTCAAGTAATTTTACAGAAACTCGAATCAGATATATTTGGGCCATGTCCAAATTCATCAAAATGGCTAACACGGCGGAATGACAGGTTCCCACAACTGTGTCCAATTAAGAAGTGTCCTGCTGTTAGCCCGTGTGACTTTTGTTCCCAGTTGGCGTGTACAGTCAACTGTCGACTTTCTTGACAAATTCAAGCAAGCGAATATTTGTTCCCTTTTTGAAACGGCGACTATTAACGGAGCTGATCAGCAAAGGATTGCACACATTTGACCTTCACTGCTATCGTGCCAGGAAAAAGTCCAAGCTGTCCAAAAAAGATCAAAACTACAGTTTGCCAAAACCAGGTCTGCTGGAAGATTTTGGTCTGAATAGATGAATCTAAGATTATCAGGCCACAGAATCAGCAGACGTTTTTTAAACAAGCATCGCACACAAATTGTAAAGTTTGTTAGAGGGGAAATATTTTTGGGATGCTTCACCGCCACCGGGACTTGGCAGCTTGCAGTCATTAATTCAGCTGTGATAACAGGATAGAATAATGTGAGGTCATCTGTCCAAAAGTTTAAACTCAATCAAAATCAGGCCTTTCAACAGAATAGGAGCACAAGCCGATCGGCCATAAAGGTTTATGGAATGGCCTCTTCAAAGCCCAGATTTGAATCATACTGACATTTTGTGGGAGGATTTAAAATCAAATTGAAAAACCTACTTGCAGCTGAAGGAATTCTGACATCAGAGTTATGCAAAACGCCACACAAGAAGTAAGCAGAAAATGCTAGCCTTTGAATCCAAAGAGTAGCACATGAGAACCCTCCAGAATACTCCAGTTGTTAATATATTTGTTGTACAAATTACTAAAAAACAGACGGCCTTGAGGTGTTCTTTCCAAATATATTTTCTATAAGTGCATCTGGCTGTTGGACAAAGAAATAAAATGTTTTTGCATAAAAAGGTATTTGTTGTAATGTTGTGTTCACTGTGTTACCACCTGAGACCTGTGCCGTTCAAAGTGCAGTGAAACCCTGAAATAAAAGTGAGAGGGTAAAACAGCAAAGGTGAATGAAGTCAGAAGAAAGGAAGAGGGAGGGGAGACGGGAGAAGAGCGACAGCGAGGAGGGAAGATGAGAAAAATGACACGGCAAAGTGACAGCAAGATGAAAACGGTCTGATGGGTGGAGACAGTTCGGAGATGAAAATGAGAAAAATGTCAAAACACAACACGATGACAGACAGTTGAGAAAAGGAGGGGGCGGGATGAGGCAAAAGGGCAGGAACAGAAATCCTGGTCTGGGAAATTAACAAATACTGATGGGTAATGATGACGAGGACGGTTGATGAGAGCAGTTGAAAAAGTGTGCCTGTAAAAATAATACTGCAATGATGTGGCGGGGCAAATGATGGACGTATGGAAGGATTGAGGAAGAAGTGGAATCAGGGGAGAAAGCAGGACTGGGTGGGGGAAGAGAGAAGCCGTAAGCGTGACAGAAAACTATGCAATAAAAAAGTGAAAAATGATGGATAAATAAGTAGATAGAAGGGGAGAACAGCAAAAAGGCAAGATGGGAAACAGCAACACTGCTATGATGACAAGATGAAAAATGGTGATTGGATGGATGACAGGTGGGGGAAAGAGCAGGGAAGACAGTGACTGTGGGAGAAAAGAGGAAAACAATGGCAAGAAGGATGAAAAATACAGACAAGAGAAAAAGGCAAAGAACAGGTGATGAGGAAAAAGAGAAGGAGAAGGAGGAGGTGACAGAAGGAATGCAAGAAAAATGCTGAAGACAGAAATGAGAGGAAGCACAACATGCTGACAGTCAGGCAAAAAAACACAAGAGATGGATGAGCAGAAAGGAAATTAGGGTAGAAAAAGAGAAGAAGACATGACTCAATGGAAATGGGAAGATAATGCGAAGCAGAGAGCGAGCCGCGGTAGGAGAGGAATGGCCTTGCACACTAAAGGTAGATAGCAGAAACTTATACTTGAGCTCAGTGTGAAATCTCCCCGGGTACTTTGTTAATATTCAGCAAACGGTCAGAGAGGTAAATTGTTTTGCTTCACACTGATCTGAGCTTCATTAATCCCAGAAGGAGCATCAGAAACACAAAGAGTGCAACACAATCGGGACTTTTAGTTTGGTGTGCTCAAAGTGTTTGACGTAGTTGC